CGTGACAACATCACCGCAGTGTAATAACTCCTAATATTGGGCAAATTTAATCCCCCTTTCCCTTTATTCTTACACAAAACTTTGTGTTTAATTCTCGTTTTTATTAGCCCATATTTAAGTGTTAATTTTTTTATTATCCCAAAAAAAGGATCCTGGTATATGTACTGGGAGCATATGAAATTTATACAGGATTATAGGGACTATCACCATCTTAACCAGATTTATACACCGATCCAGGAGACCCTACCCCTTGAAATTCTTCTCAGCTCTTCTTTTATTTTGTTTATTAATGGTATATAATTTAACTGGTATATATTTTTTTTATTGAGGAGGTTAGCTTTATTCCCAAAAAACCTAATTCCTTCTCCCTCCATGTAAATGGAAATTCCTTTTGTAGGGTCTGCTTTTCTTTCTTGAATTTTGTGGGGTTTATTTTCAAATTTGAAAGCTCACCATATTGTTTTATTAATCCCATTAAATTGAGTAACGTTAATCTGGGGTTCACGATATAAAACAGCATGCCATCTGCGTACGCTGCTACTTTGTGATCTACATCCCCTATTTTAATTCCTCTAACATCTACACTCTCTTACTGTCACCAATAGAGGTTCTAAGGATATAACAAATAACAACGGGGATAATGGACATCCCTGTCTAGTACCATTATACATTTTAAAAAATCCTGAAAGGGATCCATTTACCTTTACTGCTGCTGATGGATTATTATAAAGTTCCTTTATCCACTTTTATCATCCTAGTCCCTATTCCTAAAGCCTCCAGCGTATTTATCATAAATCCCCAATCCACCCTGTCGAATGCCTTTTCAGCATCAATCGACAGGATCATTGTCGGCACCTTTTCTCTCCTTACTTTTTGTATGAGGAGCAGTGATCTTAAACCATTGTCCCTTCCTTTTCTGCCTGGGACAAAACCCACCTGATCTAAATATATGCATTTTGGCAGTAACTCCGTAAAACTAGTTGGTTAATACTTTCGTGAAGAGTTTTGTGTCTGTATTTAATAGTGCTATTGGTCTGTAACTGGCACATTATGTACAATCCTTCCCTTCCTTAAGAATGATTGTTATATATGCTTGTAGAGATTCTTCTCTTATTCCCACCATTCCTTCTCCTAGCGCATTCATATATAAACCCAGTTTGGGTGTCAATAAATCTCTGAACTTCTTATAATACCCCACCGTATACCCTTCGGGTCCTGGACTCTTTCCTCCCTCTATGTTTTTCAGGGCCATACTTATCTCTTTCTATCTCGTTCTAGTGATATTAACTTTTCCTTTGATACTTTTGGCAGGTCTGCTGCCGCTATATATTCCCGCCTTTTCCCTCTCTTTATATCCTCTGTTGCCTGCTGATTCTTGCGGTTCACATCATACAGCCTACTATAGTATTTCTGAAATGTTTTGACAATATCAGTGGTGGAGTATACCAGTTTTCCTTTATTGTCTTTTATGTTTTCAATATAATTCATCGATTTTCTTTTCCTTCAATCTCTTCGTCAGATATTTTCCTGGTTTATTCCTCCACTGGTATCTTTCCTTAGAGACCCTATTAAAAAATCTTACTCGTCTCCTGTCCTTCAACTCTTCTCTCTTGAGAATGATCTTCTGATGTATCTCTATGTCCTGTCTCTTTTTATGTTCCTGTTCTAATCTATATAGCTTCTCCATCAGCTCCTTTATTTTTCTCTCACGGTCTTCCTTATTTTGGTCCCAGCCGCTATCAAGATCCCCCTGATGTAAGCCTTACTGTATGTGCCTCCCAGATAGTAGCCATAGAAACCCCTTAAGTCTCATTCAGAAGGAAAAACAGCTCTATTTTATCCAGTAACCTGTTCTCTATTTCAGGTTCCTACATGAGTGTCTTATTTAATCTCCACATAGCCCTTTTATTCCCCTCTCCTTCTGCCTGTAGTCTCACTGTAACAGGTGCGTGATCTGAGATAGACATAACTTCTATATTAGATTTAACCAAAGACTCCAGTTGTCTATGCTCGATCATAATATAATATAATCGTGAATATGCGCTAGAGAGAAGAAAGTATAATCTCTTTCTATGGGATGTTTCACCCTCCATGTATCTATTAATTTGCTTTGATGTAACATCTTTTTTAACATAATTTTTTTTTTACCCTCCTCACGGCGCATTTGAAGTCGTATCCATCCATGGCTCCAATCATGAGTAACGGCATTTAATTTTTCATGGAGAGTTCTAATTTTGCAAACATTTCCACTATTTCTGATCTTGTAGGGATTTCTTATATTGTTCTTTGTTGTTCCAAAACTTTTTGATTGTTTAAATTGCCAACCATTACAGATTCATTGATCTCATTCCCTTCCCTTGCTCCAGATGACAATCTAAACTGCTCACCATCGTATTTTCTACTTCCTTCCTGTTTCTCCATACTTTGTATCTCTGGGCTTTTTCCTTGTAACGGCATATATTTCTTTATTGAACTAGTATGTGCATTTGGTTGCAGGGTTTTTACTCCCCCTTGCCTCCCCTTTGACAGGTCTGTTCTTCATGTTAACTAACCATAGATCTTAACGCAAAGTTCAAAATACCGTATTGTCAGATCTGAGAAAGGGAAAAAGAAAAAGTCCCTCCTTTCTATTCCTCTCCAGGAACTTGTGCAGTCCTGGATAGCTTTAAATATGCATATGTTCTTTACATCAGAGCTTAGCCTCTGTACTCCTCAAGTTCCTTGATCTTCCAATCACCCAGCCCCACTACTCAGATATACATTTACAAATACAGAAAGCAGAGACAGTAGAAATGTACATCTATGGCCATTGCTCACGGCAACTCACCATCCCTTTCCGAGGTTGTGGATCCCTCTGCCTCTGTGCGCTTCTTCAATCCCACTCTGAGACTCATGTCCCAGATCATATCCTGAGGGGGGTCTGGGCGGTTACTTGCAGTAACTTATCTTCAGATGTCTCCTGCTCTTCTAGACTCTCAGGTTATCAGCCTTCCCCCGGAACAGTGGGGCAACTAGCCACCTAGTTTGCACAGCCCCATGTTTGCACGCCCTCCCGGGGTCCTTCAGGCACCTCCGCCTCCTAACTCTCTTCCAGGTCCTCTCCAGGGAGCGTCTCTGTCGGCGGGTGCCAGACTTGCCGGGAGCCGGGGTCTCAGTCCCATGCCACTGCAGCCCCGCACTGCTCGCACCGCCAGTCACTGCACGGTCCTGGCCAGCCCCGCCGGCACCTCCCAGAACCTCGACCCTAGCTACAGACCAGCACAGGTAAGCTTCATGAGGAAACAGTTAGAGAAAGACCAGCACAGGCTGCATCTATGAGGCAGGCGTCAGGAGCTCCTGTGTTCAGCAGTCTCCCAGCGCCATGCTCAGGCCCCTCCCCTCTAGTGTGGGGTTTCTGTACTAAATGTAACTTAAAATTAACATATCCCCTAAACCCTACTCTCATTTCTATCCCTTAAGCCTTTATCCCATAACTATAGACTGTAATCGAATTCTTAAACTGAATGTCAAAAACTTAGTGTTGCTAAACCCAGGAGCCTGCATTCACTATATCTGGTCTCCCACAGTACACAAAACATGGAAGTGTAGCTATTTAAGTAAATATAAACTGCTAAATACCTTTCCTCATCAGCACAGTCCTGTGACTTCTATCAGTGCCCAGTCGAGTGCATGTTAAAGCTTATAGGAGGAGTTTTCATTCTGCTGTAGGAGGATGCAGAACCCCTGACCTCTGTCTGGACAGTGCTGATTGGCCCTGTGCTGATCACATGAACTCTCCAAAAAAAACAAAAAAAAAAAAAAAAACCTAACAATACACACCAAACTGAGCATGTGCAGAGGGACTCCACACGATATGTCTTATCAGGAGATGAGAGGGATATTGGAAGAAGGGGAGGATCAGAGAACTCAGGATCAAACAGCGTTTTTACACAATGCAGAGGATTAACCCCTTAGGTTCCACAGTGAGTGTCAGGGTTCCAGGGTATGACCAGAGGTATGTGAACCGACACAGGGAAACGCAGATTCCAGATATGATATAAACAATATAATTTATTAACACTAACAATACATAAACGCAGTGCAATACTAAAACATAACACAGTGCAAACAAACCAAACCACCCACAGATAACAGTACATACAATGCAAGCGTCGTCAGGCAGGCCGGGTCAATAACAAACGGGCAGGTAGGAACAGGAGGAGTAGGCAGAGAGTAGTCAGGTCACGAGCCGGGTACAGCAACTAACAGGCAGGTAGGTACAGGGGGACAGGCAAAGAATGGTCGGGGTCACAAGCCAGGGATCAGAACAGGATAAGTCAGGATCAAACAGGGTCAGCAACAAGACAGGAACAGGAATGCAGGAACAAGATACAGGGCCCAGGAAAAACACACACCAAGGCAGAGTCTGCAGGTCTGGCCATCCCTTAAATACACCAGTATAAGCAGTTTCAGGTGTTTGGCTGGCTGCAAGTTGAGTCTCTGATTGCTGGGAGCACCCGCTGGCCAGCCCTGGTACTGCAGCTCATAAGGCAGGTGAGTCCCACCATTGCTGGCCAGTCCATTCCTGACAGTACCCCCCCCTCAAGGAGCGGCCTCAGGATGCTCCAAACAGTCCTAGCTGGGCAAAATGTTCCACCGCCCGGGTCTGGTAACTGGCGGGATATCAAAGACTGGCACACCGGGCAGGACTCCGGGCAGCGGCACACCGGGCAGGACTCCGGGCAGAGGCCCATCGGGCAGCGGCACACCGGGCAGAGGCGCACCGGGCAGAGGCAGCACCGGGCAGAGGCACATCGGGCTGGACTCCGGGCAGAGGCACATCGGGCTGGACTCCGGGCAGAGGCACATCGGGCTGGACTCCGGGCAGAGGCACATCGGGCTGGACTCCGGGCAGAGGCACATCGGGCTGGACTCCGGGCAGAGGCACATCGGGCTGGACTCCGGGCAGAGGCACATCGGGCTGGACTCCGGGCAGAGGCACATCGGGATCACCGGGCGAAGAGGCACATCAGGCACCGAGCCACCAGGCAGAGGCAGGCAGCGGGCTGGGCCTCCAGGCAGAGGCAGCAGGCACCGGGCCCCAGGCGGGGCGACAGGCACCGGGGCCCCCAGGCGGGGTGACAGGCACCGGGCCCCCAGGCGGGGCGACAGGCATCGGGCCCCAGGAGGGTCGACAGGCATCGGGCCCCCAGGAGGGGCGACAGGCATCGGGCCCCCAGGCGGAGCAGCGGGCGCCGGACCCCCAGGCGGAGCGACAGGTCTCGGGCCCCCAGGTGGAGCGGCGGGCGCCGGACCCCCAGGCGGAGCGACAGCTCTCGGGCCCCCAGGAGGCGGAGCAGGCGGGCGGGACCCCCAGGCGGAGCGACAGCTCTCGGGCCCCAGGCGGAGCGGCGGGCGCCGGACCCCCAGGCGGGCGGAGCGACGGGTCTCGGGTCCCCAGGCGGAGCGGCGGGCGCCGGACCCCCAGGCGGAGCGACAGGCACCGAGTCACCAGGCACAACAGTGGGCTCCGAGTCAACTGGCATGACCGCTGGCACAGGGTCAGACATTGGATCGTCTGGCTGGACAGCGGGCATCGGGTCACCAGGCATCAGGTCATTTGGCTCGACAGCGGGCACCGCGTCATCTGGCAAGGCAGTGGGCTCCAAGTCAACTGGCATGACCGCGGGCACTGGGTCAGACATTGGATCGTCTGGCTGGACAGCGGGCATCGGGTCACCAGGCATCAGGTCATTTGGCTTGACAGCGGGCACTGCGTCATCTGGCAAGGCAGTGGGCACCAAGTCACCAGGCACGACAGTGGGCTCTGAGTCAACTGGCACGACAGCGGGCACCGGGTCATCAGGTACCGGATTGTCTGGCTCGACAGCGGGCATCGGGTCACCAGGTATGACAGCGGGCACTGGGTCACCAGGCATCAGGTCATTTGGCTCGCCAGCGGGTACCGCGTCATCTGGCAAGGCAGTGGACACCGAGTCAACAGGCACGACAGCGGGCTCTGAGTCAATTGGCACGACAGCGGGCACCGGATCAGGTACCGGATCGTCTGGATCAACAGCGGGCATCGAGTCAACTGGCCTAATAGGATCATCAGGCTGGATCAGTTCATCAGGCTGGGTAGAGGCATCAGGCTGGGTAGGCATCAGGCTGGGTAGAGGCATCAGGCTGAGTACAGGCATCAGGCTGAGTACAGGCACAGGCATCAGGCTGAGTACAGGCATCAGGCTGAGTACAGGCATCAGGCTGAGTACAGGCATCAGGCTGAGTACAGGCATCAGGCTGAGTACAGGCATCAGGCTGAGTACAGGCATCAGGCTGGGTACAGGCATCAGGCTGGGTACAGGCATCAGGCTGGGTACAGGCATCAGGCTGGGTACAGGCATCAGGCTGAAGTGTGCGGGTGCCAAGGCACCAGGCTGAACCACGGAAGGCCGGTTCTCAGACGGCAGGCTGACCGGTTTGGATACTGGCAGGATGGTACTGGTTGGAAAGAATTTTCGCTTTTTTCTGGTTTTAACTACTGGAGCACTGCAAGTAAACACAGGTCTGCAAACGAATGGAGCAGCTGGAGACAGAGAAGAGCTGGAGGATGGAACAGGGGAGGGAGCAGTTGCTACAGAGGGCTTTTTTACAGGGTTAAAGGCAGGATAGGTGCAGCGAGTGGGAACAGGGTACTGACATGCGGTAGATAGCAGGGCAGGAGGAGCTGTTGGGAATGCAGGAATAGAGCTTTGAGGAAATAGATTAGAAGCAGGACTGGGTTTTTGTAAGCTGACTGAGGCTGGGTGTAACAAATCTGACCATGTCTGCAGTATGGGTTGAACAAAGCTGAGCTTACACAAAGCCTGTCTGACCAAAGACTGCACTGCGTTTATACAATCCCTTAATACCTGTGGTGAACATGCAGAATAACGCTCCAGAAAGTAATCCACATCATCCTCTAATAACCATACCAGGGACTCTACCTGGTCGGCACTAAATGGCGGCAAAAAATCCATCCCTGCATTCGGGGGTACTAGATGAAACCAACTCCGCACAAACCTGAATCAATGGCTGCACCTCAGAGAATTCTGTGCCCTGATCTACTAGAACATGAGCGATCCGTATACATTCTAGCAGTTCATCCCGGGGATACTCCTTCAGAGTCTGATAAGCATACTCTCTGTCATCAAAAACACTAGCAGATATAAATACACAACCTCATCAAGATCCATCCTTCACATCAACAAACCAAGATGCTTCCCTGTGCAGCCACTTCTGGTCAGGATTGGCCTTGGTGTAATGTCAGGGCTCCAGGGTATGACCAGAGGTATGTGAACCGACACAGGGAAACGCAGATTCCAGATATGATATAAACAATATAATTTATTAACACTAACAATACATAAACGCAGTGCAATACTAAAACATAACACAGTGCAAACAAACCAAACCACCCACAGATAACAGTACATACAATGCAAGCGTCGTCAGGCAGGCCGGGTCAATAACAAACGGGCAGGTAGGAACAGGAGGAGTAGGCAGAGAGTAGTCAGGTCACGAGCCGGGTACAGCAACTAACAGGCAGGTAGGTACAGGGGGGTCAGGCAGAGAATGGTCGGGGTCACAAGCCAGGGATCAGAACATGAGAAGTCAGCAGAGGTCAGGATCAAACAGGGTCAGCAACAAGACAGGAACAGGAATGCAGGAACAAGATACAGGGCCCAGGAAAAAAACACACACCAAGGCAGAGTCTGCAGGTCTGGCCATCCCTAAAATTCACCAGTATAAGCAGTTTCAGGTGTTTGGCTGGCTGCAAGGTTGAGTCTCTGATTGCTGGGAGCACCCGCTGGCCAGCCCTGGTACTGCAGCCCATAAGGCAGGTGAGTCCCACCATTGCTGGCCAGTCCATTCCTGACAGTGAGTAGAACAAGAATGTTTTACTGCATATACAGACTGATTTTACTGTTGTGGGTTTAGTACCATTTTAATCCCTATGGGGCACCTAAACTATTACAGCAAATATATTAAACATTCGTGGCACTAAAACCCACTGACCCTATCCCAAAGGGTGACAATAGAACGTCAAAGATAATTTTATTTATTTTTAGATACCATTTTAATATGTTTGCATAGAATGAATGTTGTAAGTGAAATTCTGAGTTGACTATTGCTGTGATCTAAAAGAGGGAAGAGACACCAAACTTTTTAAATATAGCAGAAAAAAAATAACCTGCATTGCACGTCTCTTGGTTAATGTTACTTCAAAATTCTTCCATTCCCAGTGCTGTTCAATGATATGAGCAAAAATAACGTGACCATTTCCACAAGCTCCGGCAACCTGGGTTCCATCAATAGACCAAGCAATACTGAAGATGCTGCCTGTATTTGGTTTTTCCAAAGCATAGGACCACTGAAAAAATAAAAAGATTTTTTGTCATAATCAACCTCTGTAATATGTACTAATGTGGTAAAATTTTACAGTCTAAAAAATTGGTCATCAGTCAAAATTACGAGTTGCCAGTGTGTTAGCCATTGGCAGGATTTGGCATAGTACTTCCATGCAACACAGTAGAAAAGTAATGTTAGATAATACCATAGAACCAGTCACCAGTGGAAATTTGTACTAATGTGAATATTACCTCTTGAATTGCTTAGATTGTGCAGCCTTACCTCTCAAACAAGACTTTTTGTTATTTACTTGTATTCTCTTGCTTTCAGTAAAGTGTCAGACTGTAAGGCCATCTTGCTTGAACCGAATGCTGACTTCAGCCTGGACATACTGTTAGCTATTAGTCTTAAAAGTGTTACTAAACCCAGGACCCTGCATTCACTATATCTGATCTCCTACAGTACACACAAGGAAATGCAATTATTTTAGTAAACATTAACCACTAAATACCTTTTCTCATCAGCAGTTAGAGTAGTCTTGTGACTTCAGCAGAGCATTGGTTAAAGCTTGTAGGAGTTTTCTTTCAGCTCTAGGGGGATGTGAAACCTCTGTCTGGACAGTGCTGATTGGCCTTGTGCTGATCACATACATCCTCCCAAGAAAAAAAAAAACCCTCTCCAGCAAAACACACCAAACTAAGCATGTGCATGTGACCACGGGTTCAGTCTGTATCAAGTGGTCATTTCAACAAGAGGAGGGGCAGAGAAGAAAGGATCAAACAGCCTTTTTTACACAATACAGAGGATTAACCCCTTAGGTTGCACAGTGAGTATAACAAGCATTGTTTACTGCATATACAGACTGATTTTACTGTTGTGGGTTTAGTAACACTTTAAGCTCAGGGAAGAGGCATATCAGTGTCCACAGAGAGCTTACAGCATGTCCAATGGATGATTACCTAGTGGCAGAAGTTTCCTAGATGAGGAAACCATTTGCCCTAAAGGAGTTGCTCCCCATGAGACCTGTGATGACCACCAACATCTCCTTAGGCTTGCAAGCAAAGGATCAGCTCCACAGGATAAGGTAAAAGGTCTGTTTGTGAATCTCTAGCTGAGGAGTTGTCACCAGTGATGGTATTGCTGGTCTGACATGGCTCTTACAATTTGATATGGGGCTGTAGTTCTGTACTTGAATACCAGTATTTGCAACAACCTAAGTCATGACGACTGATATAATGTGTCCCAACCTGTAACTTAACATTTAGAGCAATTGCCCTTATATATGAGAGAACCCCCTCCCTTCCAGTCTTGCACTCGAGATATTACTGCCTAGATTGCCAGGCCACATATCAAAAATCTTCCTGGCTGAATGTTTTTATTCTTAGGGAATACAAGCAGAGCACATGCACAGGCCTGGCTGGGAAAGTTTGGACAATAGTAAGTAGTAGAAAGTCTGTTCACCCTTTCTTGTGTTCCAGGCAGCTCTGCATGATTTTTGGTAATAAATAGCATGGGAAAGGCTTAGAACTTCTGTACAATTTTTTTTTTTTTATGGATACCCAGACCTCAAAAAGAAAGTTATAGAAAGTTTTCCCTTCAGTACTGTAGCAACAATGGTTTCACCAGACAATAAGGGGAAATCTTCAACAGCTATACAAACATAAAAGCAAAAATACTTTAATTAGGAGAGGAACGGTAAGTTAGATCCAACATCCACTTTTTATTGCTGTCTGTGTCTCTATTGAAGATATTCCTTCACTTCCGGTCTAGTGAAACTGTTTCGAGTGAGAAGAAATCTCTAAACAGAATCCTGGATAGCATTAAAAACCCAAAAGGGATTTTAACCCTTCTCCTTGTCATCAAATTAAAGCAAACACATTTTGTCTGGTCATGTACTTTTAAAGTATATGTAAAGCAGAGATGGGTTAAAATCAATTTCGCTGTGTCCCGCTGGGGAGATTTATCTTCACTTCCTGTCTTGGAGATGCAACAGAAAATGAGAGGATATCACCTAAAAGCGATAAAGTGAAAGGAATTGCCATCTTAGACCCCTTGTACACCGACAATGTTGGGCTCCATTCACACTAGTGTGACTCTCGCAGCCCATTGATTTCAAAGGCACCCTTTCCAATTTATTTGCAGCAACATTAAAAAGGTTCCTGCACTACTTTGATGCAACTTTGAGACTTGAGTGCCAAAGAGTATAGAGTTGTATGAAAGTTGCACTAGAAACGGAGCGACTTTGGAGTCGTACTAGTGTGAACTGAGCCTTAGGTGGCAGTATCAGGCTTTAAGGCCAGTTTGAGATGTTGAGTGCGTCAAAACCTGGCAATGGCCACCAGACAGCCCTATACCCTAGCTATGGCCATGAAGCTGAGCTTTGCAATGCAGCAAGAAAATGAAAAAAATAAAAAAAACCCAGTGCAGCAGTATTTCATTTCGGTGTGAAATTCCTCTTCAACCAGACAGAATACACCCTGTTGACTGCTGGCTAGAGGCAGCATATACCCTCTTGATTGTCTGCTAGAGGCGGCATATACCCTCTCGATTGCCTACTAACTGTGAGCCTGCCAAAAGGACAATGCGATCCATCAGGGATCACGAGTTAGCAGCTAGGCCCATGTGAAAGAGGTCTTAAAAAAGTTGTCACCAGAACATTTGTCCCCATTTGAAGATTTCCTCCTACCTCTTACTCTCCTCACAACTCTAAAACATATGAATGCCCCTTATTTTCTCTATTGGTGACAACGGTCACTAGGAAAAAATAGTGTGTCAAAATGTTTTACCTTTAAAACACACACACACGTTAGAAAATATAGTCTGGTCACCAACAATACATGCATAATATGACATCTTTATTGTTATTATATTGTATACGACGAAAATCTAGTTTTTTGAACATGAGAAAATCTACAGTAGAACCTGAACTTCTGGAAAATCACATTTGTCTTTGTTAAAAAATGTACAATGTGTATATATAAAAATACAAAAAAAATGATTAAAAAAATATATTTTTTTTTTCAAATTTTATTTTGGGGTTTGTATACTTACCTTACTTGCTAGCTGCCTTGCACATGTTTAATTTTGGAAGCTAAGCAGAGTCAGGCCTGAATAGTACTTGAATGGGAGACTGCCTTACCTTACTTGCTGGCTGCATAAATATTTTTTTCCCTAGCACTGATTATTCCTTTAAAAAAAAAAAAAATAACCTGGTCACCAACCTGCCCCAGCCTACCTACTGGGTCGTGATGGAGTATAACCACACTTAGGAGGACAGCACTCTCTCCTTGTGCCAGCAAGTACCTTATGTTATATTGACTGCCCTTCCCTCTGCCAGTCTGTGCTTTGGGGTTAAAGGAAGGCAATATTAAGGCAAATTTAGGTACTTATGCTAGCTGTATTTAAAATACATTTAGCATTTTTTGTTTTATTGAACACATGAAACAAATAATGATTTTGGTAGCCTATACTGAATATCATAACATGTTCATGGGACCTTGCCTCTTCCCAAAATCTATCATTTTTGCTCATTCATTAAGTTCAGCGCTAAAAATAATTTCTAAAAATGTTTTTTTTTTTTTTCACTTTTATTCAGGTAAATGTGAAATATATAATATTTGTCCATTTCTAGCCAGCGGGGGGAATCCTTTTCATATGTTTACCAGCCTAATTCTAAAGCCCAATTGAAACTCTGGCATAAATCGTAAAACTGAAATTAGAGTGTAGCTAAACAGTAAAATAGCAAAGTTCCAGCTTTCTTTTTAAACTGTCCTCCAGCCCCAGTGCAAAAATCATTTCCTCGCTGTAGGCTAAAAACAGGACAGAGGCACTCTCTGTGATAGGAATATTGCGG